GCTCACTCACCGTAGGAATTACAGACCACGTGGGTCTCTGGGTGCGACTTCCACAGGATGCGGTCGCACCACGAGGGGACGTTGATCCTCATCTAAAAACGGGGAAAGCAATCGGTTTCACTATCCTCTCGGATCCCGCTGCTCCAGCCCAGACAAGCACCCCAGCACCCCAAAAATCGTGGCCATCCCCATCCCAGTGGTGTCCAGCAGCTCGGCCGGAGGCTCCGGGAACTCACCCCCGTCGGCTTGAACTTCTGCCACATGTAGGTGTCCCGGGAGCCCCGCTCGTACCGGTAGGTGGGAGGGAAGGAGATGTCACCCTCACCTGGGAACCACGACACGGAGGTGGCAGCGTCCCTGCCTGCACCCACAGCTGCCACCAGCCAGGGAGAGTCCCCGTGGGGTGTCACAGTCCCCGTCGGGGCTCACCCCCATGGCTGGCACCCCCGCCAGGCCCGCAGCTCGGGCTGTCCCTGGGCGTTCACGCCCTCAGGACACAGAGCCCAGGGTCCTGTCCCAGAGGGTGGCATGGTGCACATCAGGGCACCCCGAGCTTTCGGCACCTCGCACGGGGCTGTGCCAGCACCACGTGCCGGAGCAGCACAGGGAGCGGGCTGCAGGGACCCGTGTGAGGGCGGGCATCCCCCCAGCTGCCCCGCTTGGCAGGGGAGCCATTCCCTCTGCGCCCACACTCACTGAATCGCAGGAACACCTTGTTCTTCTCCCGCTCCATGTTGAGCTGGTCCACAGCAAGAAGGGCTTCAAACTCCTTCTTGGTTATGTGGGCAAGGATGTCCTGCGCCGGGGGAGGAAGGCACGGTGAGCCTCTCGCCCCTGCGGCTGCACCAGTGCTGCCACCAGCGTGCCACCGTCCCCAGCCCCACGCCGGCCGGGTCCCACCTGCACGTCCATGTCCAGGCGGTAGTTGAGGTCCCCGAACCAGAAGAGGTGGGTGAAGCGCAGGGTGAGGTCGAAGGCGCTGAGCCGCTTGTCGCCCAGGACCAGCGAGCGCAGGATGTCACTGTAGTTCTGGTTACGCCTGGCGGGGGAAACAGCAGCATGGCATGAACCCCCTCGGGGACA